TTATAAGAGTACTGCAGCCTTCTTAAAAGGGATTGTAAATGCAAAGTATTTCCTTTAAAGCAAAATGTGAACCTATAAGACAAACCATTCAGGATGTAACAATTCTTCATATTCCTTAGAGTAATTTTTGCTCTTTGATTTGTCTTTTAAAATGTTCGTAGAGGACAAGCCTACATTTGTAAAAGCAGGTGCAACGGTATACTACACATTGTACAATGACTAGTTTGAATTAGGTCCCCCAACTCCCTCAGCCCTTCAGCCTTTTAAATGTATTAAGAGCCTACCGCCGTGTTTCTTAAACTTTTTAATACTGAGGAACACTTACCAATAATTATTTTTTAATGAGGAAAACCAAGGATTTTTTGTTGAGTCTCTCTCCCCCCCCCCCCCCAAAAAATTGCCTGCCCCTTTAGGGGTGGCCATTTTGAACACCTCCAACTGCCTCATGGCACACCAGTGTGCCACGGAACAGTTTAAGAAACACTGGCCTACCAGCTCTTAATACATTTAAAAGGAAGAGCCACAGCAGAGTTAGCTCCTGGGGCTGGAAGCTAACCTCACTGTGACTCCCCTGCTTATCAACTGGTCAATGGAAATTCCATTGGCTAGTCAATTAGTTGACTAAACTAAATTTAACATCCCTAGTCTAGTGAAGTCAGACTAAATTTCAAACATTTCTCTAGTTGAGTACGGACTGTTCTAGGATCAGTTACTAAGCAGACCATAAAATGTAAATTCAGGTGATTGTTGATTACAAAATAACACATCTTTATTAATAAGAAACATAACACTGATTGGGAACACTTGTTTTCACCTTCATCAACATTCATGTACCCTGAAGGCCTTTTCTGTGCAAGAAACACTAAAGGAACGTACTTTACGGATACCACAGACACCTTTAAGTGTACCTTTATTCCAAAAGGGACTATTCCTTTTATATAAATTCACATTCTTTTGCCTGCTCTTACTATAAAACACACAAACTTCAAAAAAATGTGTATTAATATTCTCCCATGCACAATGAACATTGAACTCAGTAAGAAACATGGAACAGCCTTCACCTATTTTAATTAATTTATTTTTTTTACCCCAATAGCTCCATTAATAGATAAATGTAATGGAATAATTTATTACATGAAATTATGCAATTCACTTACATCCATTTACTTTTCATAAAAATGACTTTTACAACACTGTGCTCTAGAAAAGGCACAATTCCACTTTAAGAGTTGTGATGCACTGCATACAAACAGGACTAAAGTGTAGAAGTCATCTGTCATTACCACATTTTTCCCATTGACAAGGCTATTCTGTTTTCCTGCTTCAACAAGGTTTAGATGGGTAAGATCAAAAGTAGTGGAACATGTGCAGTTATACCTATACAGCAGTAGGGGGGACCCCCACTGGTATAATGTATATCTTGATGTTTTAGCCTTATTTTTGTTGTTCAGAATTTGTGGTTTCAATTACAAATCAAATGAAGAAAGCTTTGTTTCAAATGTGGATGCTATGGTGTAACAAGCACATCTGGCCTATATGAAATATCAGGAAAGATGAGAGATGGACAGTCTTAGTCCATCACAATAGAGATTTTCAAAACCTTGTAGGAGCCAAAAGGCATAGCATGAAGCATTGGCTACAAGAAAAACTCAACAAAAAATGAGGCACTTTTTAAGGAAAAAAATAAAATATAAATGTCTTTTAGACTAACCTGTGCCTACTGAATGGGTAAGTAGATGATGGGAGCCCAGAAGCATCAGTTAGGACTACAACTAATTCCATAAAGTGGAGCACAGTGAAGCCATACTCCGGTAATACTGAGATTCAGCTAACAGACCCCAACCCTCTACTCAGATCAAGATCGCAGCTTGTGCTGGAAGACTGTAGTCTGTATGCTTCAGTGCCATATTAATGAGAAAAATCACAAAGTAAATTTGTTCTCCACATCTCACCTTTAGGTAGTCATACTTCATGCCCTCCTGTTTTGTAGATTTGTTTATTTAATCTACAGTACAACGTTCTTGTGGCTTTAAATAGGAGATTAGGGGATTCTTGGTATCCCCTTCTTTACACTTTCTCTTCCAATTTTCCAATCCCTTAATCATTTGCAATAATTGTAAGGGATGCTGGGCACAAATTTCTGCCATTACAAATCCCCTGGTGCAAGTAGTGCTGGGGAAATCTTAGCACAATACAACTCAGATGCTTAAATAATAAGAATGTTAAATATCAAGTAAATGACTAATCGTGTATTCGATACAATTTGTATCGAGGCACAATTAGTCGATAAGGGGCCACTGCAGCTCTGCAGTTTAAATGTAGTCTGAGCTGGGCATACAGGAAGCCGGCTCCTACTACATTTAAACTGAAGAGCTGCAGCAGGAGTAGGAAGTAGGGCTGGACCCATACACAATGCGGAGAGGTGCTGGCGGGGGAACAGCATTTAAATTGGTTCCAGACCAGCTCCTGCTCTGCCCCCCGCCTTGCTACTTCTGAGAGGCAGCAAGGTAGGGGAGAAATGGGAGTAGTGGACTCAACTACTCTTTTACGTCCCTATCAAACACCACCTTATCTTATAGCATGAAAGGAAAAGTCCAATTTCATTCTTGGGTCTCCCACTTGCTGTATTTCTAAGATATAGCCAAATACTTTGTTGAGCTAGCTCTTTAAGTGGACCTTAAAGAGAGCTTTGAAGAAGTATACCAAATAGTCATTTAAATGATTAACCAATAAACCTGGGCTTATCAGTTAATCCAAATAACTACATGCACACACACCCCCATCTGTGTCAGAGGCAGCAAGGGGTGGGAGGAGGCAGGAGCTGGTGCCTCTGCGGAGCTGGCTGCCTGCCACAGAGGCAGCAATGTGGAAGGCAGGTAGGAGGCCAGTGCTCAGGGGGAGCTGGCTTAAAAGCCGGCTCCCTACCAGCACCAGATTCTGTGGAGCTGCCTGTTCCCCCGCCCACCATGCTGCTGCTTCAGAGGCAGCAGTGCAGAGGGTGAGGAGAGGCAGGTGGGAGTCAGCATACACGGGAATCTGGCAGGCAAGAGCTGGTCTGTGCAGGGAACTAATTTTTAAACCAGCTCCCCTTGTGGACTAGCTCTACCTACCACCCTATGCTGTTGCCTGTGATACAAAGGCAGCAGTGCAGGGTGGTAGGATGCTCCACGGGAGTGGGGCCGGGAGTGCACTGGCTGTCGGCTCCGCCCCCGGGGGGAACATTTTAGTAACTGAGTAACCACTAAAAATTGGGCAGCTACACAATTACTAAAATAAAAGATATCTAACATCTCCAATATCAAAGTGTTTGTCAAAATTTAGCAAATTTTCCATCAACATCTTTAATATTACCAAACTCCTTAGATTAGTAACATTATTTCCTTAAAAGGGCAAAGTTAAATATTTTAATGGCAAACACTGAATTTTACCCACTTTCAACATAAAGGAAATTATTTTAGCATATTTCTGAGACTAATGCATCAAAACATTTGAACATGCATCAAAACATTTTACGAACATTTACTAAACCGTTTAACACAAATTGTTGAAATATACATACTACATATTTCCCTTTTTTGTAGGGTTAAAAGGAACATTCAAAAGATACTGAAAAGCAAAACCCAGAATGTTTCTGAAAAACACACCAGCATTGTGCTAAGTATATTTAAATCAATTTAGTCATTTCCTTCATCCAAAATAATGAAAAAAGAACAGATATTTGGAACAAACTCTTCATGAATAATGATCTATATTAATAGCAAAGAACATGAGCAAACAAGCAGCTCTCAGTAAAGTCTCCTTGAAGGAGATAAGTTTAAACTGTAGGAATCATAATAGATTCACAGCTTTTCCATCAAATCCTCTTAATGAAGATTTTCAGATATGCAACAGAACTCTTGGAAAACAGGCATCACATGGTAGGTTGGAGGTATCCAATATTTGTATCTTGTGCTTCCTACTTCATTTCTTGCAGTTTGGAAGTTATCATGCAACGTGCTTTGGAGGGGGCACAGCATCTCACATGATTAAGCCTTTGAAGGACAATACTTCAAAACAGTCAAGAGCATTTCTACGAAGTATAAACCAAGAATAGCCTCAAAAGTTATTGCGGCAGAACTCATCAATGCTGCATCCACATTAGTAACCTGTGTTCTGGAATGTGTTTATAGAAATGGGTAATAGGTAGGTTTACATATGTGCAAATATAAACAGTTATTGTAACTAGTGGTTTTTTAAAAGTCACACTTGATTCTGTCCTCTTGCAATATTAGGTAGATGTAGCAATACCAGTAGTTGAAAGACTCAGAGCAGTAAGTGCAGGTTGTAGCAAATAAGAGGGACTAATTTTAACTAGATTTTTGATGTGCCAGTTACTAATTTGTGGTAGAATAGAATTTTAAAAATTCCTTTCAGAAAAACATAGTATATTTTGGTTAAAAGTGACCCAGCAATGGAATACAGCCAATATAGGAGTGTTAAAAGTCACACCCTCTCCTCTCCTTGCTTACGATAGTGGTATAAAGTGCGCTTACTCAATAGGAGAGCTTTAGCAGAAATTTGTTTGAACATTCCACTCCTGAGCTAGTTTAAAACAGCCCCTTGTGGCTTTTATAAGCCAACATAATTTAGAAACCGCTCTGATGCAATGGAAGTAGTGCTCATTAGTAGTAGTAGGGCATTGTTTTGTGTCAGCATTCCATGCCATTCCTTAACTTCCACTCTGTACACTGTGGGAATACTCAAGAGTCTGGTCCATAGTCTTTATCAGGTCACTTTAACCAAGTGCCAGTTGAAGACATTTCATATAGGTGGGAAACAGGGCAAAGAGAGGCAGAAATTATACTCTTCTGCTAAGATGCAAATCCACACTATGGCACACTTTCTAGATCCAAACTTGTTACTGGGGATTTTAACAAATCCCAGTTTTATTTTCCACTTTTCAAATGTGGTTTCTCATGTTTCTCTAAGAGACATATGGTGGAAAATGTTACATTGCACTTTTAGCATTTGTATGCTTTTTTAACTTGGTGTGTTTTTACATGTTTCTCCAGAGCACATTTATCCATGGTGGAAAACTCACATTTGTTGCAGCGTAACTTTAAATGAGTTAGTAAGTGGCGCTTCAGGTGGCTAGAAGTGCGGAAAGCAAGACCACACTGATCACATTTGTATGGCTTTTCACCTGTATGAATTCTCAAGTGCTGCTTAAAGTTTCCACTATGGGCAGTAGCATAGCCACATTCCTCACATTTGTATATTTTGACAGGTATATTCTGAAGTGATTTCTCTTGAACTTTACTACTAGCCAGATTTTTTTCATTTGAGTGTGAAGCCAAATGCTGCTTAAGGGATTGCCATTTGTCTGCTGAATAGTCACAGTTCCTACATTTGAGGCGCTCCATCTTTAAATGCACAAGCTTGTGTCGATTTAGATGACTTGAAGTGCGAAACTTCTTCTCACAGGTGTCACAGCTGTGGGGTTTTTCACCTGTATGAATCCTTGTGTGTAGCTTGAGGTTGCTTAAAACATAAGTCATGTAATTACATTGTTCACACTTGTGAAGTTGTGAAAGACTTTTTGATGGCAGAACATGTTCATTTTCTTTGCCCTCATGAACATCCATCTGTTTCTGAAGGTTTTTTGAGAGGAATATGGAACGGACATGCTTTAAGTCTTTTGAGGAATTAAGATCTTCCCTTTTAGGACAGGCGCTCTTATGTATTTCACGGTGCAACTTAAGGTGGTCTGAAGTGTTGCACAAATAATGGCAATGGTCACATTCATGATGGTTTTTTATGTGCATAAGACTATGTCTCTGCAAATGGCTGGAGCTGAAAAACCTCTTTTTGCATTCTTTACACTCAAATAGTTTTTCACCACTATGCATTCTAAAATGCAGCTTCAGGTTGCTAAAAATGTAAGTGGCATAATCACATTGTTGACATCTGAACAGTTTGTGAGAAGTCCCAAAAGGAGGCTGTGCATTAACATACTTAGCATGTTCCTCGCCCTTGGGAGCATATGTAATAATCTCATTACATTCTTCAATTTGTGACTGAGTGAACTTCTCAAAGAACAGATGCTTCTCTTTGTAAAACAGTAAATCATACTGATCACTCATTTCGGTGTTCACAAGAGTTTCTGATCCGCTCCTCACAACAGGCAAATTGTTGGTTCGCTGGCTGCTTTGCCACATTTTTTTGCCATGGGATATATTCATCTCCCTCTCAAATTCATTCTTCTGTTCAAGTTCTGTTCCTGAAGCCAGCATTTCAAGTGTCCCATTAAGCAGGTGATCATCCAATTTATTGTTAGAACCAGAGGAAACCTGATCCTTTTCATAATCGTTGTCACCTTTACATGTTTTGCTTGCATTGTATTCATTGCTCTCATTTGCAAACATCTCATCACAGCCTTTAACATGAGTATGAAATTTCTTATGAAAGTAGAGCAATCCTTTACTGTAAAATACTATGTTACACTGATCACATGTATAGCTCTTTGGAGGACTTTTAGTTCTCTTCTCCTCGACACACAAGCCAAGGCATTGCTGTCTTTGGCATAATTTTTTTCCAGTATGTATATTTGTATGTCTCTTTAACCCACTTGTGCTTGTGAATGATGACTGGCAGAATTCACAGGAATATGGCTTAGCCCCGGTATGAATATAACTGTGTTTCACCATGCTTGCAAAATACAGTGAAAAAAATGTACAGAACCTACACTTATACAATCCATAACCAGCATGCCAGTACATGTGATTTAGCATATAGGACAAACTAACACAAGAATAGTCACACTGAGGACACTGATAAGGCCGTCTGCCTTTATGTCCCTTCATGTGATAAACAAAAAGCTTGGGATCTGGTGAAGCAAAGAGACAAAATTTGCAAGAAAAAATAACTGGAACAGCTGCTGTTTTATAGTCCCTTTCAATTTTGATGAAGAACTTCTCATACTTACTTTCCTTTTTCTTATTTGCAGAGTGTATTTTTACTGGGTTCTCTTTCCTGGGTTTTTCAGGGTTCATACTTCTTCTACCTTTTCTTGTATTTTTCAATCTGGTCATTTTCTTATGAAATTTAAGATGGCGTTTAATGTTGACAGAAAAGAAAAAGCTTCTTTGGCAAAAGCAGCATTTGTGAATTTTTTTATCCTGATGTGCTGAATAAACATGTTTCTTTAGAATACTTTTATTTGTACACACAGAGTTACAAAACCTGCATTTCACATTCAGTGTCTTTTCATGCTTGTACGTAGATCCTACACAAACAGTTTCACTATTATGCTCATTACCTAGTTGGAATGTCTCTTCTTGTTTTATAATCACATGAGAAAAATCACAATCTTCTTGCTTATTCATCATCCTGGGAGATGGAATTACTGACTGATGAATAAGCGCTTCAGAAATATTCAATCCAGGATTATCACAAGCATTCCTTGCCAAGTCCCCTACTTCTTCTAGCAAGTCTAAAATAAGTACTTGGGACTTGCTTTGTTTCTTTTATACCATTCAGATCTTCAGTGCTACTACCCATTTCAGAATTCAGAGTGTCATCTTTAGAACCACTTCTCTTTCTTGTTCTGTCATCTGTTGTATTCTTTGCAGTCTCTAAAGAGGCAGTACCTAAAAATGTAAGAAAATACATATGACATCCAGTAATCTGCCACTGAGCATGATCTCAGTAACTTCCATCTAAGTTATGATCAGATAAACGAAGCACTCTAGTGATAAAAGTAGACAATTTCTGACTGCCATCAGAATTTGTATTCAGAATAGGGAATACCACTCACTGATGCAAAAAAAGGTAAAATGATTTCCTTATATGATTTCATTCAGCTGTAGTAGACGTGAACATAACTACTGGTTCTCCAAGAGTATTCACCAATAGCCATATCTTCATAGTTCTCACCCTCACGCTTACTGGTGAGCAAAGTTAAGTGCTAAATTAGAGACTGAGACACTGATTGAAGGTATAAATAATGTAGGAAAGGTGCAGACCAAGCTTCCCTCAACAATATGGACAGAACATCCAACCTGCAATACACCTGTTATTTTAGCCCTTACCTGCTTGTGAGTGCAAACTGCTGTTGGACAAAGTCTGAATAGAAATTTTGGGCTGGGTGGTCCACCATGGCGCCCCTCCTCTCTAAATTAAAGGAACAGAACAGCTGTGCACCATTACAACACTGGCAGTCATTTTTCTATTATATAAAATATTGTTTGTCACTACTAGGGGAGGTCAAATGACACAAAATGATCTGATGAAGTGGGTTCCAGCCCACAAAAGCTTATGCCCAAACAAATGTTAAGTTTTTAAGGTACCACGGGACTCATCATTGTTTTGCTGAAACAGGCTAACATGGCTATTCCTTTGAAACACCTCAATTTCCATCTAAGGATGTTAAAATACAATTATTTGGCTAATAGTATAGCTGCTAGGCTCTTACTACATTTAAAATGCAGAGGCACACCAATCAGCATGAGCCAGAACTGCTCGCGCTGAGTCCAGCAGCCTCTGTTCACAGCAGCCAGGGCTGGCCACAGATAGCTCTGGCCGCTGCAAACAGGGGCTGCTTCGCAGCAGCATTCCCTATCCCTCCCCACCCCCGACACTGACTCTGAGTCAAGGGGAGAGAGGAGTAGTCAGCATCCCGGAAACAGTGTCGGGAAGAACTGGCTTTTAAACTGGCTCCCCCCAGCACCAGATCCTGTCCTCCTGCCCTTGCTGCCTCTCATTGAGGCACCAAGAGTGGGGGGGTGCCACAGAGAGCATGGAGCCAGCGGGGACTGCTTGAGTCCCTGCTCACCCTGTGCCCTCTGCAGCAATTCCGAAGGGCTCTTGTACATTTCAAAAGCAGAAGTGCCTGCAGTGGGAACCTGCGAGAGCAGGGACTGAAGCAGTTCTCACTCACGCCATTTCCAGCTATGCTTCTGCCTCCCCTGCCCCCCACAGAGATTTACCAGCTTTACCGGTTCCCCCCAGCACTGGCTCCTGCTCCCCCTGCCTCTCTCTGATAGAGGGAGCAGGGGGAGGGAAGCAACTAGTTAAGCCAACTAGTCGCTGACATCCCTAATTCCACCATTGTTAATCCAATATATTTGTTGACTATAACTTGATCAATTATGGCATTAATCCAATACCACAAAAGTATCAAAATATTAAAAATGGTATTACATCTTCAGTTCACTATTTGACTCGTGCTACTTATTAAGTTTCTTGCTTTTGCTGTACTTCCTTTCTCTTCCTATCTTTACCTTTTCTACTATGTATTTGAGAGCGCTTGTGCATCTGTCTGTCAGAGTCAGTTTGTTCAACAACTCCTCCTAAACATAAGAGCTAAGACCACCAGATTTGTTATGCAGCTTCCTCTTATTGTAACATAAAACAAGGTAAGGGGTTGGTTGTGCCATGAAAATGCAATGTGCCTGGAAGGAATGTGATTGTTTCTCATAAAATGCTAAGGGAGGGGGTCTGCTAGCAGGTACAGTTATACTGCTGAAAGACAACAAGAGGTCAGGCATACCTATAAGACAGTGGCTAGCTGGGGGAGGGGATTTGTATATTGCTGGCCACTATCCACAGATAAGACTCCTGTGCTGGTGCTAGGCATAGTTGTTCTCCCTTCCACTCCCCCTGTGCTGGCCCCTATGCCCCACAGCCAGGGCCCAAACCAGTCCTCTCCACCCTCAGCTCCAGACACTGCAGTGGGGAACGGGCAGGCAAGCGCAGCTACTGTAGCAGCTCCGTGGAGCCACGGCGACCAGGCAGCCCAGCCCTATGAGTCAACCCCACACCTCTTGAATCCCCCACCACATACCTGATTCCTGCGCTCCTACAAGGACCTGAGCAACACCAGGTAAATCCTCTAGTCTTTCCTACAATACAATTTGGTGTAACTTTATCCTGAGTGATCTTCAGTGCCTCCCCCTTTCCCACTACTGTGTTTTTTCTCACTTCATCCCAAATTTCTCTCAATATCATACTTTTGCTTTTTAACCGTAGCTCATAACTTTGTCCTCACTCTCTCTCACCTTCAGTCTTAACACATCTCTCTCCTTCTTTACAATGGAATGCTAGCTGGTACTCTTGATTGCTATCAGAGAAATTGATTGCAGAAGTCTCATGTTCCAGTCCACCTTTAAATATTGCTCTTGGAATCAACTGCTTGTTTGTCTCAATAGTCAGACCATCCTTATTGTGATCACACAAGAGAGTAACAGGAATCTTTTGGCAATCAATGTCATAATTGCCTTCTTTGCTTCTGACACATACATTTAATGTTCCAAGGTTCATTCTGGGAGCTGATGAACAAGGCATATAATTTTGGTTTGGTTTGCTGCTGTCCAGAGCATATTGATGATTTAAAGAAACTTGGACTGAATTTGATTTCTCAAACACACTCAGAGTAACCTGCTCTTCCTTGGGACATTTTAGAACATTTTCTTCCTGCAAAGTGGGCTGCACCTGACTCTTTAGAGCATCATCACCACTTGAAGGCACCTGCTCTTGCTCTTCACTTTTTTTTAGGAACTCACCGTCATTCGAAGTGGCCACATCTTCTTCACTCTTTAAAATATCATCACTACTCAAGATTTCTTGCTTTTCATCTTCACCTTCACTTTCTAGAAAATCATCATCACTCAGCACAATGATGATAATGGGAAGGTCAATTTCAAATACATCAGATTCTGAAATCAGACAAAAACAGTATTAGCACTAGGGATGTAAAAGATTAACCAGCAAGCCTCACCCTTAATGGGTTCCAGTTAGCCAGCACAGAGCGAAGCAGCTCCCTGCCCGCCCTGGGCATGAGCAGCCCTTGTTCAGGCAGCCTAGCCATCTGCTCCTTCCCCCAACCTCCCACAAGTTACTTGCTGGCTGCCGACCCCACTCCCAGAGAGCCAGCTGCAGAGCTCCCAGGGAATCCTCCCTGGAAGTAAGGTCAGCAGCCCTTTTTCCCAGACTCAGCATTTTGCAGTCAGCGGCTCAGGGACATTCAAAGCATGGTGTTACATCCATCACCATATCTTAGACTTTTAGGACAGAAGGGACAATCAGGACCATCTAATCTGACCTCCCGCACATTGCAGGCCACAGAACCTCACCCATCCACTTCTGTAACGGAGCCCTAACCTCTGGCTGAGTTACTGAAGTACTCAAATCATGGTTTAAAAATGTCAAGTCACAGAAAATCCATAATTTACATTAGTTTAAACCTGCAGATAATCCATGCTTCAGAGGAAAGAAAAAAATGATCAGTCTGACTTAAGGGAAAATTCCTTACCAATCCCACATATGGCAAGCAGTTAGACCCAGAGCATATGGCAAGACCCAGCAGTCTGAGAAAGAATTATCTGTAGTAACTTAGAGCCCTCTCCATCTAGTGTATCTAATAGCCATTGACGGACTTATCCTCCATGCAATTATCAATTTTTTTAACCCTCTTACACGTTAGTCCTTCACAACACTCAGCGTGCACAGTATGAAGAATTACTTTCTTATGGTTGTTTTAAATCTGCAGCCTATTAATTTTATCAGGAGATCCCTAATTCTTGTGTTATGTAAAGGGGTAAAAAACACTTCCCTTTTCATTTTCTCAATACCATTCAGGCTTTATAGACCTCTATCATATCCCCCTGTTAGTCTTTTCCATGAACAGTCCCAGGCTTTTTAACCTTTACTGCTCTGGAAGCTCTTCCATACCTTTAATAATTTTTGTTACCATGCTCTGTATCTTTTGAAATTCTGATATACATTTTTTGAGATGGGGCATGCAGAAGTGGACTAGGGATTTTAAATTTCAAGTAATCGACTAATAGAATACTTGATGCACTTTTCATCGACTATTTGATTAGTGGATAGAGCCCCTCCATCTCTGAAGCATAGCAACAGCCTTAGGCAGTCTGGATGCTCTCTTCTGAAAAAGCCTTGTTTGCATTCAAGAACGCCTTTTTTTGAAAGAGCACTTTCGAAAAAAGGCGTTCTTCCTCGTGAAATGAGGAGTACCGCTGTCGACAAAAAAGCT